ACAGGTTTAGCCAAGTTCCATGTCTTGTGTGCGTTTGACTCGAGAGTCTCACCCTTTGCCACGGCGAGAACTTTGCTTGTGACTGGCTGCCATCTGGCACTGAGTTGGCCACACAGAAGGGAGGCACAGCTGAGAACTGTTTCAATCCAAAGGCTTCAAAGGGATCTTTTCCGTGCTTACTGTGCTTACTTATATAATCTTACTTAGATTCCTCCACGTTTTGGTGATAGCATGTTATATCTATTCCATGCTTGTTGCTTATGTTCTGTGAACCCGTGGTGGGTTCAATCCCTACATTCGTTAACCGTGGGTTTTCCCAACGGGTGCCTCCCTGTCTCGGGGCCACAGGCTGAGCCTCTGGCAGCTGCAAGGCATCACCTAAAAGGGCGTGGTTCTTGCAGCTACTGGAGGATGATTACTATAATTGGGAGAATACATGGAGGATAATTCTCCAAATATCAAAGAGATAGAATCATTTTCTAGTTATTATTTATCATCCACAGATCAAGTCATTGAGGATAAATGCAGGATAATTCTTACATAATTTTTGGACTTATAGTTAGTTAACATTAGTTAACTATATTAACAACATGCGATCATCCCATCCAGTCAATCCAGTCAATCCAGTCACCAAGTGATCTTAGTTTTTTTTGCATGTGTGTATGGGATTGGTAGCGTCAAGCAATGCATAAGGCATAAACTGCAGTTTCTCGATGGGTTAGGAGCTGGTAAGTAACACTACAAGGACTATAAGTGTAATAGATTTTTAGTGCGGAGACCCCTATGACTTGGCGCCCTACTTATTCCTCACCAGGGTTATAAACTGGGATGACGCTCCAACTCGCATGCAAGATTTGATCACAGCTGCATATGGAATGTATGTAATGATGTAACCACCAACCAGGGGCATATACATCAACCAGAAGGGCTGCCGCGCAAGTCGGCTTGAAGCCCCCTTTATATTGGGCCGTTTTTTGAGCAATTGCCTTTCAGAAAGTTGTCGGTTCAAGTGCTGAAAACTCAGTACTTGGCGAGCGGCGAGAGCTGGTTAAACTCAGAAGTGATGGTTAACTCAGGACATTTCGCGAAACCTTCCCTGTTCAAACTCTGAAAGCCACATTTCCTGATTTCCCGAAGACCTGAATCTCAGCGACTGGACATATTTTGTCACCACGGCCACGCAAAGAGGTGGATGTGACAATGTGGAGTTGGGATGAGCTGGGCTAGGGAATGCTAGGGAACAAACATTGGGAAGGCAAGACGTTTTTTATCTTTGCAGAATGGATGCAGTCATCGGGCAGTGCACTGTGAAATAAGGTATCCACGATATCAACGTCTTATATGGGGTTTGGTGAAATGGTGGGGTACCGATGGTTTAGAATGGAAAATCCGATTTATAAATGGATGATGTGGGGGTACCCATGGGTATCTCTCTAGGAAACCTCCATATGATCCTCAAACCTTCAGTGTCCTCCAGGCCACGGCGAGAGATCTTGTCCCATGTTTGCGCTGCCACCAACTGCTCAGGCAGCACATCCTAAGTCTGTTCAGGGGATTCTATCATTTTAATTCATTCTATATATAAGTCATTTGGGTGTTTCTGGTGTTTCTTAGAAATTGGGGTACCCTAAAACCAGGTTTACCCAGTGGAAAGGATCCATGGATGGAGGATTCTTGGGTCCTCATTTTCGGATCTCAGGCAGGCGCTGTGGCCGCCGTGCCAGCCGCGCCAGCCGCCGTGCCAGCCGCCCCATTGGTGACGTTCTCAACACCTCAAAGCGACTTCGAAAAGAGGTCCGACCTGGGGACCTGAGGACCTGAGAATGTACCTTATGCTTTGGATGCCAATGGTGCAAGATTCTGGAGAATCAACAGCAAACATTTCTTTTTCTGTGAAGTCTAGGCGCTGTTTTGACATTTGATCAGACGAAAGTCCTGAAATTTGGCAGGGAAGTAGTCTTTTCGCAGCAAGTTCCCGTGGAAGAAAGAAATGCAGGGGCGTGGAATCCTAGCAACCTCGCGGGCAGATGCAGGCACTTGAGAGTGAGAATATGCCTCACTCTCCAGGTTTTAAGCCCAACCCCCATGGACCAAAGCCCTCGACTCAAAGTTGAGGTGATCATTGTACACCAGTACATGGGCGAACCTGGCACAGCAGGACAGGAGGCTTGCGATGTTCACAATCTTCACAATCTTCACAATCTTCACAATCTTCACAATCTTCACAATCTTCACAACCACCAGTTGCTTCACACCTTTTTCCATCCCTAGAACATGTAGAATGTAGATGTCAAGGCAAACACGTGGACGCAATGTCGCTTTTTACATAGAATCGAGATCTGAATACCTGAACTTATTGTACTGTAGCTGAATTTACATCACTACAAGACGATAGGGTGAGGGGAGGTGTAAAAGATGCGTCAAGACGAAAACTCACTGTTTCTACATGAAGACCCCATGCAGATTGTGCGCTATGATGACTATGTGCGCAATCAAGAGTGGCAACACCTTGGGTGACTCCAGCGAGTTGGAGCCGCGGGCCAGAATGTAATGCAGAGACAAACATGTTTGAGTTCGAAGATTCGACAGGGTCATTCTCTTGATTCGACAGGGTCATTCTCTTCAACGTGTATAGCATGCAATCGCAATACCAGGACCACAATCCGGATATGATATCATCGTCTAGAATGCCTATGATATCATCTATCTGCATTTCTCTATTTGTGTGCCAACACATGCCTTCAAACACAGATCACACTATCGATTCGCATCAGCAGTGCCAGGCCAATCCTGCCGACTGCAGAAGAATTGGCAGCCCGAATGCAGGCGGGTGTCACAGCAGCCAGCGACAGTATCCCTTGAAGTCTGGGGTCTGCTAGTGGGTCATATCAAACCATAACATCCTGCTGACTTGGAACCTGTTGTGCGAGGTCCAGCAGCAGGTACCGGAGAAAAGAGGGGCAGGGTGTTTGCCCTAGTTGTGGTCAGTTGTGGTCAGGTGCAAGCGCACAAGACACGGAATGGGTTCTTTGCACCAAGAAACCCAACACCAATACGCCCTTTGCGAATCTGTTGACGGTCATCTAAGGCGTCCAATACGCCCTATGGTTTCAGGTCATAGGAGAGGCCACGCGACAACTGCAGTTCTTGATGCCTGAGGTACAGAAGTCCTCCATCCGTCTGGGATGTAGCTCCCAAGGCAGTTGTGCAAATGTTTCTTTTTTGTTGTTTTCTGTTTTTCATAATTTGCCTCCAAACAAGAGAAGACATGCACTTAATCTGCTAGGCTATATGCAAAAAGAGAAGGTGGAAGTAACTTAGCTTCTGTCTCACGCTTTTAGGACTGTCCAACATTCTGTGATTGCCTTTTTAGCTGACCTGGTTTTGCAGAAGGGCAGGTAGCGAGGCTTTGGACGCAGCACACCATTGCCCTGTTGCAGGGTGGAAAGGCCTCAAAAGCCCCGCGAGTCAACCCGTCAGGGAACCTCGGGAACCTGAATGTGTTTTCTTGCTGGACATTTTCGGCAAACAGATACAAGGTTGAGCATATAATGTAGTATATGATAAACCTATCATTTGGGGATGGTATTATACCACCCATATATATATATTGCATTTTGTTGCAATATTGAGGATGGGTTAAAGTTATAATTTTGTTTGCAATGTATTAAACATGATGCATATTTATCCATAGCATGTTCCAAAATCATGCAGGATCTCATTTCTGGCCTCAGGTTCAGTGACAAAGCACGACTCAGCGCAACTGGAGAGTATGTGAGGGGCACCCAACGCCATTTCAGCTGCAGCTGCCGTGCCACCTGCCTTCTGCCTGCATTGGAAACAACGAGGTGACACGAGTTTTGAAGTCAGACACCCAGTTTTTGGACTAGACAAACAGGTATCAACAAACAGGTATCATACCTGGCATTTTGCATGCTTTTGCAGTGTCTGGAGGGTTTTAGTTACACATCCAGCATAGTCTGTCGGTTGCATCACTGAGGAGTGAGTTCCTGGACGAGAAGGGCCTTCAAAACTTCTTTTCCAGCCCAGAGGCATGCTTTTCTCGCATAAAGAACAGATAAGAACGAGTCATGGTTTATTCAGCAACACGAGAGAGTAATTGACTATGAAGACTTCTTTAATGCTGTTCCGGCAATTTTGATTTTCCTTGCTGTTTCCATTGGTTCAGGAATTTGCATGCTTTGTATACTGCTGAATGTTTTCCTGATTCTTGCAATTTGCTCAGGCAGTCTCCTACGAAGAAACTCCATCTGCCAAACCAGCCATGTTTAGACCCGGTACAGGGGTACTATCCACATTTGTTTTTGAGCAGGTATTGCACGTCCAATCCAAGCCTGCTGGGAGAGCGAGCTAAAGTGATTCAAGATCAAACATTCAAACTCTTTGCAACACCAGTTTTTCTGCGTGTGTAGCCCAGTTCACACACGGGCTGCGATACACAGCCCGAAGGGAAGCAAAGAACTTGAAGCTTCGAAATCTTGGCCAGTTGATACTGTGATCCCCACATGACAGGTTTGAGGGGCCGTGGATACTGCAAAATGCAGCTGGTCATCGGTTCATTTCCCTGAAATCTGCCGTGTCTCACAGATTCTTCAAAAAGTTCAGTATGCGGTCGAAGTGTCGCTGTTTTTGGCACGGAAACGTCCGCTGCATCTGGGGAAGAATTGCCGCCTTTATCGATTCTTTGCACGGTACTTGTACTTGGCAACCTGGCACAGTAAAAACTATCATATCACTTTGTGTTTCCATCTTGGTTCCTTGCCGGGCATACATGTGTGGCTTTCATGTGTGAAGCTTTTCTTGTGCCTGAAGCAGATAAATGTGAAGACAGGACAACAAGTCCATTTGACAATGCAAGTTCCCAGATTCTATGTCACATGGCTGCGGCAAATACGTTCCCAAGGAAGTTCATCCGACAAATGACGTTTTCAGCATTTTTCAGCCATGCAGTAGCAAGAATTGCACACCCATTCAAAGTATCTTAAAGTCACTATAACCTCCTTGCATCATGGATCAGTTGGGTCAGCTCCCTCCTGGCTTTGCGCTGGCCTCAAAAAAGCCGTCAACACTAAGCGTTGCACCTGGGCTTTGACACTGTGAGGGCACCTGAAAGTTTGCTTCACAGGACAAAGTCAAGTACTGTAATGCAAAAGATATTTTGATCTACCCTCTGGTAATTTAACATAGCTATGGAAAATCACCATTTATAGTGGATTTTCCTATTGAAAATGGTGATTTCCCATAGTTATGTTAAATTACCAGAGGGTATTTTGACTTGATCACTTCAGTAGCTCAAAAAGTCCACAGCCACATTCTGGTAAGGATCGGTCCGATCCGTTTGGGCAGAAAAAGGCAAGAAACCGAGGGTTCCATCTATGGAACGTATGGGAGTTGTCTCAAAATCTGGAACCCCATCGCCACAGCCTGATGTCTTGTCCCGTACCACGCTTGTCATGATGATGATGATGATGATGATGATGATGATGATGATGATGATGATGATGTTCGCGACTATGACTATAGGATGATGGTGGGCATGAAGATTAGGATGACCATGAAAGGCCTTTTTGCGTATCGCCACGGTGAAAAAATGGTTGTGTCTTTTGACACGCTTTCAGTTTTTTTTCCACAATTCAAAACCGCAGCAGCAAGTGAGTCTTGGTGTACTTTTCAGTTAGATTTCCTTGTAATAAGGATAACAAACTAAGATTCACCAGCAATAGTGAAAATTCTCAGCTTGTTCGAAACAACCGTACAATAAGCTGACAATTTCCATTTTTGTGGCACGTTTCGGCACAGACAACTCTCTTCGCCGGAACCTTTCGGCCGCAACGCAGCAAATCTGCTGGAGCCCCATCTGTCAATGGGAGGGATATTTGGCAATCTGACCTGGCAACGGAACCCCCGCATCCATAGATGATCTCTCAAAATTCAAAATACGTAAGCATAAAATACAGGGGAATTGCATGGATTTGCCATTGCAATATTTTGCGGGTAGAGTCAGTTTCAGGTCGGGTTCTCAAACAAAATGAGCTGAGGAATTCCTCCCTCTTTTGGGAGGATGTCGTACCCTAAGGCGAAATTGGTTGCAGAGGCATCCTTGTCCAGGGCCTAGACTGCCGAGGAAACGTTTGGCACAGCTTGTCAGGACTGATGTTCTTCTCGTGTTTGTGCATGGCACAGCTGCTTTTGTCTTACTAATGATGATGATGATGATGATGATTATTATTATTATTTCGATGGTAACACGAATGCATTCATAATGCTGGTGTTGGTAAGACGTTGGAGATTTGCAATGCTGGTGAAGATGGGGAGACGCCACTGCAATGGCGGTGATGGCGTACCCTCAGCGCTGTGTGAGTTTGCTTTAATGTGATTTTCAATTTGAGGCGCACACCGAATGGCCTTTCGCCCAAGGTACAAACACCGGGGATGTCAAGAGGTAAAAATTGTTTGTCTAGCATTTCAGGACTGTCTACTTTTGTCATGAGTTTGTCTATTTCAGGGTGGCTCTTTGGGACAATCCTATCATTGTATGCGACACAACGATGCACCTGTTCCCAGATGGCTCACTCATAAAAACAGCTTCCGACGGTTGTGCACTTTCCGAGCGGTGATTCATGAGGATGGTGGCAACAGAAGCCAGGAACCAAGTAAAGAATTGTTTCGCAAGACTGAGCTGTGGGTTGACCTTATCCTAACCAAGGTCGACCAGACACAAGTCGTCCTGTCACTGGAAGTGATGGTCCGGTGATCCCAGGAAGGTGTAATTTGGATGTCGATGGGCGGTTTACTGATCTCCATGCATCTCCATGCTTCCTCATTGGAACATTTTGCCGAATCTTGCCAAAGAAGTATGCTTTAGGTCTGGCTGGTTGACTGAGATCAATGAAGCGAACCTCCACCATGGCTGCTACGCTTTGTTTTTTGAAAAGTATTGGTACCTGACAGGGCCATGATAACAACAATCAGAATAAGTTCAGCAATAACCCCGAGGATGGCTGCAACCTGAACTTTGACTTTGTCAACAACATTGAGATGAACAATGCTGCTAATGACACATGACACAAGCACCATGAACAGCAACAGCAACAGCAACAGCAACAGCAACAACAACAACAACAACAACACCAACACAGACACAGACAGTGACAAGTCACAACGACAAAAAACACAGGCACAGGAACATAGGAAACAACTTTCGGTGAAAGGATGAAGAAGACCAACACAAAAGACACGTAGAAAGGGCAGATGGGAATTGCAGATTGTAACAACAGTCTGAGTCTAAGGTCCACAATCAAACAGCATCAAATTGCTGGAAACAAGATCCGCGCAATCTGAAGTTCTTGGATGTTTTGCTCATCAATGTTTGTTTGTGTCTGGTGTTTGCCCCAGTCTTGGTTATTGTTACATTTTACATTGATTGATTATCTTCATCCCTATATCCGCCCTCATCTTCATCCTCATCTTCATCCTTATCTTCGCTCTTATCTTTGGCTTTGTCATTTGTTGCGGTTGCTGTTGGCCTTTTCTGTTTGCTGTTGCTGAGAAGATGAGGTGCCGATGCGGGGCTCGATGACATGTGGGACCGGGCTGCACGAAGTGGTCACGAAGTGCTCGCAAACTTCGATGTCCTTCGGTTTGTTCGGAGGTTGTTGCGGTGACTTTTGTTGATACAAGTCACAGTTCGAGCCAAATCATTTGTGAAGTTAAGAGTTGAGAGTCTAGAGAGAACCGGAGCCACCATTGTAGTCACTTTTCTTGTCAGATTGGACTTGTTACGGTCAAACTTGCCATTTTGTCAATACTGGAAACTGAACCCCTTGCGATTGGATCGGCAGGATGCTTTGTCCATTTTCTCCTTGAGGGACCATGTCAGCAGTCTTCTTCAGCAGTCACCAGCTCGGTGTTTCGTTGACACTGCTATTATGGAAATCGGAAATCGTATTAATAAGTAAGTAAGATCAGAGGCCGGCACCGTCGGCCACTTCAGTGTTGCTTGAAACCTGCAGAACCCGAAGTTGCTCACCAGGCCCCTACCAACGAGAGGCGAAGGCATCAAGGAGCCGCAGATCGTGGCAGTGATTCACCCTACCCCCAAAAGATCGAAAAACCTTGCAGGCACATCACAACATGCACGCCTCGCTCCAGAAATGGATCCAATGACAGTGAAATCTTATTAGAGTAGTTGTCAATAGTAACTTACTCTTCCATACTTTTCCTATTTTCTTGTTTTTTTTGGGGAGTTGCTACATGCTCGCTATGTCCAGGACTATGCCAAAGAGAGCAGCATAGGGCCTCTGCCTGTGAGCTTCCCAGGATGCATTGGATGCGTTGTGGGTGGGTGATTGGTCATGGTTGTGTAGAGGTTATGGAAGTGGTTGATTTACTATCCAGTGGTCAGGAGGGAGCCGAGGTAGGGCTATCCATGTTCTTTACTCGGGAGCCAAGGAGCTACTAAGAGTTTCCCAACATGACTGGAAATATCTGGCAGCACTTGAATCGCGTCGCATGCCCTAGTAGGTGTAAACCAGACAGGAAATCAATCCAAGTAGCAATGATTGGAAATGGATTTGGTTTTTCCTTCAAATTCTTCGGATCCTGTTTTGGGGGAAGAGCAATGCCATGTAGGATTTGCTCGTCCGTCGCAGCTGAAGCTTCATGATGCCATGTCGATGCCAGGTGTTTTTCAATCCCAGACTGGATTGAATTTTTACATTTTGGAGGACACCAAGCCATAGTTATAGAATGGGAGGTACTGTAAATCACGAGATTTTGATGGGTTCCTAGAGGTTTTCCCTCACACCGACCCAGTGAATACAACATCTTTTCTTCAACTTATCACTAGCAGAACTAGTGCAGGTGCGTGCTGTATCAGCTGGAATCTGAAACAGACATGCTTTTGTGGTGCAACATGGTGCAACAGATAATTGCTGAAATCAGCACAAGGAAGTTCTACAATCCACTAAGAATTGAGATTCGGTGTTGTCAGCGGACACACGGCCCTATCAAATGGAATCAACAACACTGTCAAAAAACAATTGACATTCGAGGAGCCGCATTGCCAAAGATGGTTCACACGATTACGTGTAGTACATGTATGTATATACTATATATATATTATACATACATTTTAATACATGTGTGTATATACACATACCAATACAACGTACTTGCACGTATAAATATATCACACTACGAAACACCAATACACATACCGACATCGTTGACGTGTGCCCTCTTTCTGATGGTCCATTTGGTCCTTGAGCGTCCACGGGAATCGGTGCTGCCGTTGCTCATTCAACATTGCATTGGATCCAACAGGGAATCCAGCAAAAACCCCAAGGGGCGGACGGATGTTTCCAAAAAGCCCTTCTGGAGCATTGCCTTCCCCATCTACTATGTCCTGCTGAGCTTTACCTGCAACGTGCTGTTCCTGGTGGGATCATGCCTTTTTTTGCCCATTAAGAGCTCGCAGGCAAGTGTATCCTTCACTTTTGTGGTGGAGAACATTGATGTGGACAAAGTGATGACTTCCAACAAAGGAGACCTTTTTGAGTACCCTGTCGCGAAATCCAGCTTGAGATTTTAGACATTTTAGGGGCTTTGAATTTCTGTTTTCTTGGTGCATGAGGTGGGACCATGGAGGCGAAATCTCGGATTTGCAGCTATTTCAGTATTTGAGGTATTGGCACACGTGTGGGTCAAGCGTTTTGCATCTAAAAATGCATTGAAAAGGGATGACCCGTGTCCATCATTTGACTGCAGCGTATGCTGTTTTTGCAAAATGTCCTTTGCATTCTGTGTGCTGTAGGCAACTTGAGAACAACTTTACAGGCGGGGCATATGAAATGAGGACCAGTCCAAGGGGCAAAGCAGATGAACCCGCTTGGAGGTGATACCTTATACCCATCCATATGCCATATAGATCTGTATGCATATATATATATATTATATGTATATATACATACATGATGTGTGTGTATTTGTATTTGTGTTTGTCTCTAGTGGAATATGTATATATATATATATGTACTGGATATGTCCAAGTCCATGTCTATGTATGTGTGATTTTATGTGTATACATGTATATGTATGCATATATTTGTATGCATGTAATGCAACGCAGTGTAATGCAATGCAGTGTAATGTAATGCAATGCGATGTAATGCAATCCAATGCAATGCAATGTATATCATTAAGTGTAATGCAATCGAATGTAATGCGATGGAATGTATGTCCTTTGATTGGTTCTGGGTTTGATAATTTTCATACCCGTTATGTATATATATATAGTTATATATACATAATAATTCGTTATATGCAATAAACATATGCATCATACATACCATGAAAATCATGGATGAACATCGACATCACCATTTAGCCGCCTGTGAGGCGCCTTAGCTTCGGACCAGAGCAATCGAATCAAGCCGCATCACACGCCACTTGTCGGTGAAACTGCGCAGCGACATGTGACTGCGCAGCCATGGGGATATGAGTCATGATCATTGACATGGAGTTTTTTTTGGGATAATAATGGATATATAATAGGGATATAAGAGGGATATGATAGGACACACCCACACACATTATCATGTATATATATATATAAATGCCCACAATATATATATATATATTCAACATAGTATGATATTTGGATTTGGTACCTTATGGCGGTGAAATAATAAGGACAATGATTATGAACCACTGGATTATTTTATTGTCCCGCCTAGAATTTTCATGTTTCGACAGTTGGCCCAGAGCCATAGTGACACCGGTTGTTTTCCCCCTCATCAGTGGATTGGGTCAGGCAACAAAATACAGGAAACCATGTTTTTTTGATATTTTTTGTGTCTCACATCCAACCATGGTGTTTTTCTCTGTGAACAGCCACTCCCTTCACTCCTAAAACCAGGCATTTCCAGTGGAGAAAGACCACCTCGTGCAGCCTCGATGAAGCGATGCTCTTCGATGTGAACATCTATCCACGCGATGGGAATAACATCACTGCCTTGCCGCCTGGCGTCCAAATGGCGCCGAAACATGGGTGGGGAACCTCCATATGGTAGATGATGTAGATGGAAAATCATGAAAGATAGCCCTGTTGATTAGGTATTCTAGCAGATTCTACTGCTGGTTTAATGCAGATAATAAGCCATAGTAGGAAACCGAGCAGAACGACAGATGGGAAAACGAGGGGTGGTTTTCACCCTCCAGATCCAGGCAGTCCTCCTTGCCATCTGTGCAAACCATCTCCGGTGCCTTGAACCGTTCCTTTGCAGCCAATGGGATCGACAAAGTCGCTACTGGCCAGGTTCAGGCACCGATTTGTCACAGCTGTGCCGAAAAAACGATGGGAAAATTCCACGCATTTCTGGGGATGCGGCAGATTTGCTGAAATGCTTCAGGAGTAGTGGCTTCAGTATGTGGGGATTTTGAATGGCAATCCACCCATGAACTTCACCAAATCTCCAGGTGAACATTGTGAACCGCCCACGCATCATGGAAACCTCAGTGGTTCAAAAGTGGGCCGTGGATTTTGGCTGCACACTTTTCATCATTGGATCAGCTCTCTTGGCAGCCATCTCTGGTCTGGATTTACTGGAAGACATGCTCACCTGTGGCGCCTCGGCTGGTCTTTCGCCGGCCGGGTTTTCTGGGGATGCCTATTTTCCCAGTGGCTAAGGATTGGAATAGTATATTATATATCATTATATTATATGATCATATTTCATCGACTTTTTGAACAATGTGAAATGCCCCCCCAATTCACAGACTGGTGCCAGGTCTGAAGCTGCCAAGTCCTAAGACCCTGACCCAGGGATACGAAGCTTGGCAGTTGATATTGCCATCTATTTCTTATTGTATACCATTGTCATTGTCACTAGTCACCTTGCTGTTGCCAATTGTCTTTTTTTTCAGCCCACTTTTTTCTTGGAAGATCGATATATAGAGGATGGTCTAGCCTTGTCATATTCTGTTCTAAATATGCATTTTTTTAAAAACACTTCACGAGGTTTGGATTTTTTTGAGTACTCTTTTTTTCTGCATTGAAGATGGCCAGGAATTCCTGGGAAGTGAGCCATCTTCGACATTGCCACCTGACGCTCCCGTGGTTGTGAGTGCTCGGGCCGAACGTCTGTTGTACCTCACCGGCGGATTGATCTTTCTCATTGGCACCTTCTACTTTCAGCATCCACAGATGGTCAGTTCGAGAGTACCCTCCGAAGTGATGCAAGATGAAGACGTGTTGTATGCTGCCATTTGGATGTTTATCATTGGATCCATCATTTTTGTGTTTCTCGTCAGCAACCTCTTGAAGGCCTTGGAAGGCCTTGGAATGCCTTGGTCCTGGGTCCAACGGATAAAAAACCCAAAGAATGCACCATGAAGGACGGCAAGACGACCAGTGTTATGATGATGATGATGATGATGATGATGATGATGATGAGGGTAGAAATGGTTTGTCATTGATGTTGTACTGTGCTTTTGTTGTTTCCCGATTCTAAGTGTCCAGCCATGCCATCCGACTGCGTGCCCAGTTTCGTTGTGCCACGATTTGGAATCCTGGGATTCCAAGCGGGCACAGGATACTGTACCCCAACTCCAAACGACCAGAGCTGAGTTGACCTTGGTTTGAACCAGTTAAACATAGTTAAACCAAGTTAAACCAAGTTAAACCAAGGTTTGCAACATTTCTGAATGCTTTGTCCCTGAACTCTTCGGGTCGCACCTTTGCTCATTGGGCTGTGGCCACTTGTGGCATCTACGAGCTCGGCGGGATTTTGTTCGTCATGGGTTCGGTGCTCGTGGCAGGGATCAGCTGGGCTTGGAGATTCTTGTTCCCTCAAAGACTAAGGAATGGGATCTTCCATGGACAATTTCCAAACACATCCAAACATGTAAGTGCCTTTCAAGACAGATTGAACATCTAAGCACAGCATATCCGAACATACCTTTCATGAATAGATCTTTTCCAGCAAGCCCATAAGACGCATCCGGAACACTTGTTGCCACTGGCTTATGATGTTTGCAAGCATAATATTAAATAGAATGATGCTGACTGCCTGGATGGTCGAACTATTCCCACAGTCGACTTGGAACGAGAAAACCATTTGACGGGGAAAATACGGGGTAAGACAGCTTTGCTTTCTGTCATGGAAGGGTGTTCGAGGTTCCAAGAGGTTCCGAAGAGTTTTGCTTACACTGTAACGGATGTGGAAGGTTCTGAGAATTTCTCATTCGCAGGTTCTGAACCAGAATCCACCATTTGGTTCCGGATTTTTCCAAGATTTTGCCAGAATTCCCCATTTGCCAGCGTATGTGAGATCACTGCAAGGGTGTCACGTTGAGAGAAACACAGCAGCGATGATGTTAGCCACAGATTCCAACATGGCAAGAACAGACAATGAATGATTTGTGACATTTCTCAGACTTATCGGACAACCTGAATGCCAAAGAATGCCTGTGACGCAAAACTGAGGTGTGTTTCATGCCCAATCAGGGCTGCAAGGAGGGTATGGACATCCTTGGTGCCTGGTGCTTCATTGTTGGTGCTGCATGTTACATGTTGGGAGACTTTATTGAGTTCATGATGCTTGGCTTTACGGGTGCCACGTTTGGTCCAGCTACGAACTGGGAGACATCCAGTTCCCTACTACGGTGGTTTGAAAATTAAGCGAGGTGATCATTCTATAATTGTGCGACTGTTTCTTTCCATTTTCTTTCCTGTGCAGGGCGTAACAATGAACTGATCATCCGTGCAAAGTCCATCTGCAAGATGCGAGGGGTATGGGAGACTCAAGTCATTTACCCAGCTGATTTCTCCGTTTTGGCCATGACGAATCCCAAATCTCAGGAAGACGTGCGCTCTCATCTTTCTACGCCTAAAACAAGAGGAAGCTGCACGTCAAATCGAACGTGCGATGCTCTGTTATTTGTTCCGACGGCGACTTGAAAGTGCTACCAGGCAGCATCTAGGGATGGCCACAGGTTGCATTGCGAGTGTCAAATTGAAGGGTTGTCTTGTGTTTTCTTGATTCCGAGACAACGCTTGGGTAATGTCCAAAATAGATATGAGGAATTATGAGGATGGGTTCACCATAAGCCATCGTTTGGATAGAACAAATATGTAGAAACTAAATACCTGCGTATGACTTGGAGACATGGAAGAATTTGATGAGAAGGTGAACATTGGCACATCATGGGCATAAACGGCGCTTTCGTTGTTTTGCCAGACTTAGGTGGGGAGGTTGACACGCTCCCGCCCCGTACCGAGCAGCAAATCAGCTCCTTCTAGGGGTCGACGAGAGAGTTTGAAAGAGGCTGGGCCTTGGAGGAATCCATGGTTGACCGCGATCGTCTTGACGCGGCTTAAAAAACAGATTTAGAGTAACAAAAATGACCAAAGACGTTAAATTTCTTATCCAATGGCCTTGGAGCAACTCGCTGAGCCACATTCCAACTGGGATGACGTTGCCGATGTCCAAGGATTTATCCCATCCTTTCATCCTTTCAGGTGGAAAAGACATGGGTTGATCGCCGGTCACGTCCCTCTTGAATTCGGTTGATGGAACGCTTAGAGGTCTGTTGCCAGTTTTGCACTACCCGAGCGACTTTGTTTTAACAAGTGATACGTCCAAATTGCACCCTTCAAATCCCATCCCCAAGAAGTTATATAGTGAAGCCAATGGATTCCGGAAGTCTTAAATCATAAATCGTTGAACACAACCTTTCTTTCTGAGCAAATGAGACTGTCACTTGTTCAAGCGGCGAGTCACTTGTTCAAGCGGCGATCCTCAGGTGGGCTTGGTAAGAGCCTTTACAGAGGCATTGGGACAGCAGCCGATTATCCAAGCCCTGCAACTCCGAGATATTCCCAAGTTGGAATGTGCTGGTGCATTTGATCGCCGGAAGGAACTGCAGCTGGGCAGAATCTTTTTGTATATATATATACATATAAATATGATATTTTTGGTAGGTCCAGTGGCCGGTGGGTATGGAGGTAGTCAGGGTAATTACGGGGGAACATACCAGTGGTTAGTGGTTGAGCCAAGTCAATTCTGTGACAAGGTCGGCTCCTACAAGCTCTTGGCCCATGGCTCGGCCCATGGTCTGAGATGGGGGTCTCATCCTTTGAAAGCATGAGACAGCCTTCGTTTCAGCGATAGCGTGATTGTTTCTGAAACTTAGCTGACTTAGCTCCTTTGAGCATCGGCATCCATTGCCCAGATCAGATTGGATTTCGAGAATTCTGGTAATAATCGGACACGACACCTTATTTTATATAGTTGGCGGTGAAATTGATTGATCTACAAGAACTCGTCCAGGAAATTTCGCTTTGTTTGAGGGGTTCTCGACTGGTGCGTTTCTCTTCCCTTAGTGGATGCATCTGCCCGGGGAACCCCCTGAGAAAATGCCTGATCCGCGGAATCTGGGCTCTTGGACCAACCCATGTGGATTCGGTTCCGCAGAAAGACTGGGCGATTCTGCGGCTGGTTGGCTGAGAGTACAATGGATGGGCTACAGGCTTGGCAGCTGTGAACCCGGCAAGCCTGGCACACAAAGCCGGGAGGCTTGAAATGTTGAACGTTTGGATCCGACGCCAGGATTTTGTTTTTAGAATTACTGTAATTGCCGTGTCCACTAGACTCACTAGACATTCTGCAAAACATCCAGCTAAGTGCGTCGGACCCATTTTAAAGCTTAGATTTTTGTTGAGGCACAGGTTGCTGCCTAGCAGCAGCGCATGTCGTTTTCGAGAATTGGAACGGAGGTACCACCGCCACATTTGAGCAAGACGCCTTCAGAGGTTCATGGCCACTCGGCTGCGATTGGTGGGTGAATCGCTTCTGAAGGAGGGTGATCATGAAAGGAATGGCACATAAACACTAAGAAGGAACAGGTTGTCACTTCGAAATAACTTTTTTGGTCCTCTTTTCGGGCTATACTTGCCATATCTTGCCATACACTTCGGACACTGAATTCATAGCCAAGTTCAAGGCCTTACAAGGGGTATGTAGGTCTCTTGCTCTCTGGTTGATTGAGTGGAAAGCGCAAAGAAAGGCTGGAAGCATTCAAAGGAATTGTGAAGCCAAAAAACTAAGGCGGAATAAAAGGTATTTCAAATTATTTCAATAGATTGATGATGAGATTTGCACCTTGCTAGTAACATTCCCAACTCTGCTAACTCATGCAACTGCAAATCCGGGCCCAGAAGGATGTTGCCTACAGGGCATCCAAACCCAAAGTCTTGAGAAGTTGCAGCATGAAATTCTGAGCGACACGAATCCACATAGAAACAAACCCTCGATTGCACCACACCAGGCAAACTCAGCTGACGTAGTGAGACCATCAACTGCGCTGCTAAGTTGAGTGCTTGGCGACTGAGGAAACTACGTCTATAGCCAGCAGCTAGAAGCGGGCATCAGGGGCGCGCAGGCGCCAATTTGTAATTGAATTGTGGGGCGAGAAACGTTGAGTGAAGGTCTAATGCTCTCCGCGCTGAATTCTCCTAAAAATGTCCTGGAAAGACCAGAAACAAATAATCTTCAAACCTAAGGTGTTAATCCTAAGCATTGAGAGCCGGTATTTGCTGCAGAGATGTTAACCTAGTGCGAAGATCAAAGCTTTCAGACCCACAGGCCTCTGAACTCTGGCGAGGCGGTGTGGCGGGAGTTTATGATTCAAAGGGTGGTTGTTGCCCAGACGACTTTTGCAGCACTTGCCAAGTGTTCTTGATGGGACTGCACTTTTCCCATGTCCAGATTAGATATCATTGGACTAGCTGCAATATGCTGGAATCATCAATTGCGTAGCCACAGCTTCTCCAAGCTCTGTTGGAAAGGAGCCAGTTACTGCCAGGTTTCCAAAAGAATGACCAGACAGAGTTCAATGAAGCAAGGGCCAAGAGCCCAGAGTCATGTCAGCCGGAGATTTGTTGGTCCCGTGGCTTTTCGGGCCTGAAAAACTGTAGGCTCACTAAGGTAGGAACGTAGGAACAAGGGCGAGAGGTTCAGAGGCCAGCAGTATCCATTTTGCCCCTTGAAACATCTTGAAACTGCGGTGGCCAGCTCTTTGCCTGGCAAGGTGCACATGGGGCACATCATGCGCAAGTGACCGCCATGGGGCGACTGCGTGTTGTTCCATCGTGGAGTTTGCTATCCGAGTACAGGTCTTGTTCATGCTTGCCAGCCAGTTGTTCAAACGCATTTTTAAAAGATAATAATCAGATAATATGACATAATACAACTATTTATAAACCAGATCATTTGAGATTTGAGATCCATTCCCAGTCCTGGAGAATTCACCTGAGCAAACTCCGCCCTTGGGTGATGTTTCACAATCCGACAGATGCGAAGCATGTGGCGGAGAAAGCAGCGATTTGCCAATCTGATTGACTGTGGAAATTGTAGGTTTGGTGTGAGTTTGACGATCCTCATGATGGAGTAGAGGAGGATGAGAAGTAAAGCAGAATGAGGATGAGTGTATATGTGTACATCCATATACGTATATTATACTATGTATATGTAAAAATTATTTAATGATTGTTCAAAACACTCCATGAACGAAGCTGTAATGAATTACGAACCTACAGTTTTTGAAGAGGTGCACCTTGCCACTTCCTGCAGCACTCATAAAATCATGACGCGTTGTCCTCTGAAACTGCGAAACCAACTGGAGACACTAGTGGTGACTGTCAAATGATGACTGCTTTGCTGCTGCTGTTACATTTTTCCGGGAGGTTCCTGGACTTAGTTCCATGCTGACAGACCGGTGGTTGGGCAAGATGGAAACACATGGCATATTCTGTACGCGCAATACGTCCAACTTCACCTGTAGCTGGAAATCGAAGAAGTCCTTGTGCTCCCAACCCCTCAAAGAACACCCAAATCAATTCCCCCAAACAATTATTCGAACTTCAACGGAAACAGCATTACGTGTGAAACATCTGCAGCCGCCCTGCTGGGGGCCATGTCGGTGCCCAGCAAGGTGGCAGACCGACGGCAGATTTGGACCTGGCAATTCCCCATTTATTGATGATTTTTTCATATTATTTCCATCAACAGCTCCAGCTTTGATGGGGATTTTGCATGTTGGATTCCCGGTACAACTCAGCTCATGGCATATGCATAGAACATGTGAAATTGACCAGGTGAAGGAGATGAGGCGCCCGGAAGTTACGAGGATGGCTGCAATCTTCCCAACAACTACGTAGATGTAATACCTACTGTATCTACAAAAGACTGATTTCTTTCAATATTTTTTTGGTATGGTAAACAATTCATGTAGTGATTTTGGGTAGGTCCAATCGACAGCCCGGTGGTGTTCTCAGGTTGCTCAAACCATCCCAGTTTTCCAGTTTCGAGTTGCGATTCAGCCCATAGAGTGTGAACAAACAAGAGGACCAACACGTCTGCTCATATCAATGAACATGGCTTTAAGATAGTTTAACACCTGCCATTCGAGTGTTTGTGGGTCACGCCAAGATTAGACTGTTGCTAAAGATGCCAACATTTGATGTGGGATGCATCGACATAGTTGTGTGTGGCAGACATCTTACTGTCAAATGGTAGTCATTCTTTCTGAGGCACCCAATTTCCCAAACTCCCAGGATTGGCATGAACCCTCAGTGACAGGGCTTTGATATTTGTCTGAAACTTTGGATGGCTGTAGCATACTGCCCAAAGGTCCACGGCCACAAAAAACCACATGTTCATCCCCCGCTTTCGGCTCGCCGTCAGCTTCGCGGACGCTGAGTACCCAGTGAAGATCAGTGTTGAGGAGCGCAACGCAACGGGTGGCTGCATGAATCGGTTGTCCTGTACCAGCCATGTTCCTCTTCCAGTGCATCTAATGACCCAAAGCTGTTTACTTGCTGGTTTAGATGAGGGATGAGGAGGGGTTGAGCAATGGCAACCTACCGGGCGACAGTCGATCTGAGAATACCTTCTGCGTGCACATCCATGTAATCCTCCACTTGCACTTGTTGAGCTCGTTGTTTATATGCAAAGAACACCCACACCTAGGGTTTGGCTTATCAAAGGCGGCTTAAAATGAAAGAGAAAAGGTCCAAACGTAGGGATGTGAAGCAAAATGGACATTTGACCAGCAAACCGACATTTGACCAACAAATATAGCACTGTGATTTCATAGATGTACACTCATGTGATCGTGACACGCTGGTCCATTCTTGTCTCAGAGAACCATAGGATGGATTGCTTCGCACAGAGGCTACGTGCTTGCGAAACCGGAATCCCGTCTGGTTGCTCTTCTTTGGGCTTGTTGCGGTTCCCACCAATATCCACCAATTTATAGTGGTAGCGGAGCCCGGTTTCGGCCGGGCCAGTAATTTGGGGTTGGTTTGTTTTTGGGGATCCGGTTTCGTAGGTCGTAGCCTCTGTTCGGGGCATGGCACAAGTTCCACCTGCGGTGCCTCCCTCGGATGGCGATGATCCACTCAGTGTGAGTGATGGGGACGAGACTCATAGTCATTAAAATGAGGATGCAAAACCCCTGCGAATGCCAAGGAAAATGGAGATCCATTAAAATTCATTGCAAATACCAATACAATCTGTGTTTTCCACAGCGGCCTAAAAGCTGATAGTCACCTTTTTTTGGGGCTCTCCACTGCGTTCACAAGTTCCACAAAGGTTTCTGGAAACATTGCGATGGACTTGTTAATCCATTTGACGCTTTTTTCCTATGTACGGCTAGAGCTCGAAGAACGCGTTCCAAGCCAGGCTCCTTGTTCAAGTAGTGCGCGGCGATGGGGAGCGATTCGGACCTTGCCACCTTTCGTAGGTTCCAACGCTTCTTGCGTGCTGAGCAGGATGGGGGCAGTCCGAGAAGGACGAGACGGAGTCGCGAAGACGACGATGACAAGGAGGGGCACGAGCAGAAGGGACAAGCTGGAGTTCCTCCAACTTGGGATGGTTCCACCCCCTTTGAAGACTACATGATCAGAGCGAGGCTGTGGCTGGCGACAACAAAGGTGAAGGGCCGATTTCGTGGGCCTCTTGTGTTGAAGTCTCTGACGGGGACTCCGTTTGAGACTTTCAAACATTATGTCAAGGAGTTGATGTGGTTGAACGGCAATGGGAATGCCGAGACGCTTCTGTCTGCGATGGACCAGCCAGAGCACTATGGAGAAGACCAGCAGGAGCACATGCTGAGAGCCCTTTCAAGGGTCACCTACCACACCAAGAGGAGCCGGACGGAGACTTGGAGAGATTTCTTTGCCCGGTGGGACGTGGCTATGAGGAAGGTGCGCCACCACAAGATTGCGCTTCCAGCAGAATATGAAGGTTTTCTGCTGATCAATGGACTTCAGTTGCATGAAGGAGAGACCAGAGCTCTTCTCAACTTCACGAGGGGCTGCATCAAGCCAGTGTCCATCAAGGATTGGCTGAGGAAGAACGAGACCAAGCTGGCAGCTAGCGAGCTGGGAGCAGACAAAAAGAAGACAAGCAGTGTCTTGCACACGGAGATGGACTATGACGTGGAGATCGACAACGACCAGGATGAGGAGCTGGACCAGGAGATCGCCACCCTTGAGACCTTCTTGACGGACTTGCAGCCGGACCAGGAGGCCGACGAGACGGAGACCCTTTGAAGAGGACGAGGCTGCTGAGATTTTGGCCACCATGATTCGGCAGAAGGAGACCTTTCGGGAGTCCATGAAGGAGAAGAAAGACCGAGAACTTTCCCGCGGCTATGGCTTTGCTGGAAAGAATTCCAAGGGCAAGGGCAAAGGAGCTGGCTTTGTCAAGCCGGGACAGTACCGGGTCTCGATCGAGGAGATCAAACGCCGAACACGCTGCAACAACTGTGGTGTTGTTGGGCATTGGAAGAAGGAGTGTACGGCACTTTACGGCACCTCACAAAAGTTCCAACAAGGTGAGCGATGCTTTCAAAAAAGAGTTTTTCAAATTTTTGTGTAAATTCGTTTTTGTCACATTTTTTCTGATGGCATTGCTGGATCGATCTGCAAAAGTTTCAGGATGCTCACCCGCAAAACAAATGATATCGGCAACCCCCTTGGATGATGTTTTTGCCTGGCCGGCACCAAGGAGCACGTCCAGAGCATCTAGAGGCAAGCAATTTCTACATGCCGCAGGTAATTGACAGAGCAATCAAACAGTGTGCCCTGAAATGTTTTGCTTTGAATTATTGGAGTTGTATTGTTTCTTGTTTGTTTTCATTAGACAATATTAGTTTGCCTCAAGAATTTACATGTTACATTCAGAATAAAAACATGTTACGATTATGATATTTTCAAAAATCTTTAGCCAACATGAAAATTCAGTATTTAAAAATAATATTCAGTATAATGTATTTAGAAAGAAAGGAAAATGTCAAAATGCGTTTCTATTATGTAAAAAGAAAACATAACATTGAAATACATTGAATACGTTTTTAATTTTTTAAATATTGAATTTTCATGTTGAATATAGATTTTTGAAAAATATCATAATTGTAACATGTTTTTATTCTGAATGTAACATGTAAATTCTTGAGGCAAACTAATATTGTCTAATAATAAACAAACAAGAAACAATACAGTTCCAATGATTCAAGGCAGAAAAAATCAGTGCACACTGTTTGCTTGCTCTGTCAATTACCTGCGGCATGTAGAAATTGCTTGCCTCTAGATGCTCTGGACGTGCTCCTTGGTGCCGGCCAGGCAAAAACATCATCCAAGGAGGTTGCCGATATCATTTGTTTTGCGGGTGAGCATCCTGAAACTTTTGCAGATCGATCCAGCAATGCCATCAGAAAAAATGTGGAAAAATCAAATTTACACCAAAAGTTGAAAACATTTTTCAAAAAAAGAAAGATTTTAATGCAGAACAATATTTTAAAAACATATATTCAAAAAATAATGCAAATTGTATTAAATCATTGAAAAATGCTATTATCAAAAAGTAGTTTTTCAAAAACGAAATATTTGATTTTTTTTGTAAATATTGATTGTTTCATTGTACCTGCAATATGGAAATAAGGCAATTTTCATCGTATGATTTTTAGTAGGAAACATCTTAAAAAATATGTATTGATAGATAATATATATATAGATTTTAATTTTCTAATGTTGATTTTTTAAACACTATATATTATACCTGTTAATATTGAATACATTATAATGTATTTAGAAAGAAATGAAAATGTCAAAATGCGTTTCTATTATGTAA